AATTTTCAAATCAAGCAGGATCATCAAATTGAGATTGATGGTGATGAAAACTTCTTGAAGTTTAGGTTGAGCAATATTAACACCAGGAGATAAAACAGAATGGATATCATAAGACAACAACCTTCACAGGTTCCACATATCTGGATTCTGGTGTCAAGCAGCAACTAATTGCGGCCATAGCCAAAAACATTCAAGAAAACTATGAGAACCTTAAATCAATGTTTGCTTTTTTAGGGATTTTCCGCACACCATTCTTCATTGCGTGTGACATGAAAATTGCTAACATCCTATGTGGAACCCATTCTCACTCCAGTTCACACTCTTGCTGTTGGTGTGACATTACCTCAGACAAAATAAAAACCAAGAACAATTAAATCAATAAGAACTCAATTTCAGCTCTATAATTTATATTTAAGAGGAAGCAAATTTAAGGCAAAGAAGTACTTGAATGTGTTTTGAGGTTCACATCAATGTATTTAAAGAATACTACATGAATCTGCCGGTCACAGTGACTCTAAAAATTCATTTTGTTTTTCACTACATCAAAGAGTTCATCTAAATTTACAACACTGGGCTTGATCGTTTCAATAAACAACCATCTGAGGCACTTCATTCAGTCTTCAGCTTCCACTGAGCAAGATACAAAAGTGGTTTGGACAAGCACTAATATGGTAAACAGTTTTTTTGACTGCATGCTAAACTACAACAGCAAGCATCTTTAGAGAAAAGACTGAACTTAATTGAATCAATGCCAAGGTGAATACAAGCATGTATTAAAAACAACGGGGGTCATATATTAATATATTTCGATTTAAAAAAGTTGTAGGTGTGTTTAAACTTTATTCTAAGTAATCTTTTGATTACTTGAGTTTGCTATTTAATTTCAGAAAATATATATATTTTTTTTTAATTCAAAGTTGAGTTTTTTCTTAATTAATAATCGGCTAAGAAAAAAAACAACAACCTGGACCCTGCCTCGTGTTTTCTCTTTGTACCACTCTAAACTTACCTTAACTTAAAAACAAGTGCATTTAAACTTTCTGGTGTATGTATATATATATATATATATATATATATATATATATATATATATATATATATATATATATATATATATATATAATATATATATATATATATATATGGATTTAAATAATCTTGATGAACCAATCAACACACATTTTTTTACAAGGAGGTACAGAAAATACTAGAAGAGTTTGGGATGTATACCTGTTAAATATTTAACCTAAAAAATTTGCATTTGCATATATTTCTATCTTTTTAATTTTTTAAAAGTCTTAATTGAGACAAAGCTATATATATGAAATACACAACTAAAGTTATCAAGTAAAAATTATGTTATGTTTTTTTGCTACATTTATTCTTTTACGTTTTATGAATTCTTTTAATTTTTATCATTTTAGTAAATTTTTACACTTATCATTTTTAAAAAAGGATATGACTTGCGTTTGTTAATATTTCTCATCATTTATAAATTTAATATTTAACAAAGCCTATTAGCTTTTGATGAAAATAAAGGTCATCATCTCAATCATCTGCTTTATCAGTTTTAAATAATGTTGTTTGCAACAATTTTTCTTTGTCTGAATGAGTTCATGATTACAGTTTGAGATTTTTTCATCAAAAACAAAATTTAGGCATTTTTTACTATGGTGATAAATTGTCCTTGCCTATTTTTTTGCCCCTAGGTTTTGACTATATGCATAGATGTGTTACATGTTTTATACATTTTTATATTGCACAATTGTGATTTAAAATACCATATGCAATAAAATGCTTTTTTTATTGTTTAATTATTTTAGGTAAAAGTAATGAACGAAATGTAGGAAAGCTTGCATTTGTATCAAGTACTCGTACACACAAAGTTCAGAAAAAACTTATTGTATCAGACAATTTTTGATCAAAAATCACACATGTTGTCTACTATATTAAAAGTATATCCAAAATTTTAGACTTCAAATTATCATGCTAAAACTAGTAAATTTTTAGATTTGTCACATATAATTGAATCAAAATCAAATTGTGTATTTTAAGGACTGATGCATTACTTTTCTGAAACTTGTGTTATTTCAAATTTTTGAAAAACAGTTAAAATTTTATAAAAAATAAAATACTACATCATATTTTACTCAAAGATGTTAATACTTTTTCTACAACTTATATTTTTGAAAACATACAAGTAAAAAATAATATGCTTATATTTTTATAGATAGATTGCTTCTAATGATTTATTAGTGTTTCCTTGTTTGTGTGTATTGTGCAAGTTGTTTGTTTTTGATGTTGATGTGATTGATAAAAAATATGGGCTTGAGAGGAAAAAAGATTTAATAAGAGTGTAAGAGTTCTATTCTTGTTTATGAAATGCTAATATTGTGACATTCCCATGTGTTAACAATGTGTGATATTGTGTGACATTTCTATGTGTTAACAATGTGTGATATTGTGCGACGTTGCCATGCGTTGACAAGCCTTTGATTCTTGTTTAAATATGAAATGTTTGTTTGATATTTCAAATGGATTGTACTTAATTTAACTTAAAAATCAAAACAAAAAAATGTTTCTATTTGAAAGGTTGACACCCATATCATGCTTGCAAAATTATTTCACTGCTGTTGAGAACAACTTCAAAAAGGGAGTGGATTTCAAGATTCGAGTCTTTGGACCATTCAGTGAGTTATGTCTATAATATTCTTAGTTGAACAGGAACTATAGTTTATATTTCTTTAACCGTAGCTTTTTTCCTCTAATATGTAAGAATACTGTCTATAATACATTGAATGGATCTTTAGTGTTATTTTATAACTTATTTTAAATATGGATTTTTGTTATGTATCGATTTTATAAGGTATTGCTCATTTCAATGACTATTTGTTATATTTACCTTAAAAAAACAATATTTAATTAGTCCCACCTTATAATTATCTTTTATATTTCAGCCTGAAAGCTCCATGAGCTGCAGAAAAATGCTTTAAGCAGAAAATTGCCTTAACCCATCGCTTCGCATACAAGATAATATAAGTTATAAAGTTTGTGACAATTGCTACTATTCTTAACTGCAGTTTATAAGTTGAAGAATTGAACGATTATTCAAACTTTTTTGATATTTTAATTTGAGATATAAATAAGAATGCACAACTTTTTTGAGGTTTTGCAGGTGGTTTACAACCTCAGAGAAAAACATTTATTTTCAGCATCAGGTTATCAGTTTTATGCAATGTTGAAAATAGGCACATTGACACTTATTCACACAAGAAAAGACAATAGTGCAACCCATTCTTTATTAAATATTATTTAGTCTGATACTATTTATTTGCATAGAGAAAAATTTAATCTGTAAAACTAAACATGACCAGTTTGTCATTTGTATATATTTGTATATATTAGTATTTCTGAACTTTAATGGCCATATAGATGCCGTTAAAATCTTTATATACAAGTTTATTATAATCACATAAAATTTTTCTGAGCATTTTATTAACACTAACATCAACAATTAAGAAGAGTCATTTGATCATGTTTGATTATACATAATCATTTCAAAATATAACAAAACGAATGTCCTAAAAATTTAAAGAAGTTACCTGATAACATTAGAAATTTTATTTTTTGCAAATCTTAATAATTTTTTGCAAAAAAGTCTTTTTTTAGCACTAATTATTACAGTAAAGAGAGGACATTAAAACGTGATTAAATTTTTAAAGTAGTGGTCTGCACACTTTACGTAATGTTCCATAAAAATAATTTAACAGACGACTCTGTTATAAATTGAGTTTGTTAATTTTACGGGCAACTCACTCAGTTCCGAATTAAAGGACTACTTGGTTGAAAATTCCTTTAACTCTAATGAAATAGTTTTAATTTTAATGGAATTGTTTTAACTTTAATGGAACTGTTTTTAACTTTAATGGAATTGTTTTAGAGTATAGTATCTGCATAATGGTCTAAAAATTTTGCATATTTTGTAAATGTTGTAATAAAATTTTCATTTTATTTGAAAAAATAACAACAACCATTTATATTTCTTAGGTATATGTAAATAATAAATTTTATCACCATTCAACTCAACAAACATTTTATAAGTGACATTTTTTTTTATTTACACAAGTTTTAGAACTCCTACTAGTTACAACTTTCACGAACAACCTGCATCCTACTATCAAACCCACTTTTGACCATTTGGACAGCGTCATCCATGTTTTAGATATCAAATCTATCTACAAAAATGTGGACAGATTAGTATAGAACATGTCATATCTAAACATAACAATCTTGTTTCAGAATTCAAAAAACTTGTGGATCATGAATAAAAACATTTCAAAAGTATATTTTAACAAGAAGAATTTTTCGGAGAACAAAGATCTTTTTATTATTGCAAATAATTGACTCAAAAAAGACTGATCACTAAATCCTAATGTCAAATATTATTTAAGGTAAGTCTAACATAAGTCATAACTCATATATGGATTTGATCTTATTGCCTCTCCCAAAGATAAAGCAGTGCTTTAATCAACAGAGTTGATGTTATTTATTTTGGTATTTACATATTAATGGAATGGCCATGTCAGAAAAATTTAAAAGCTTTTGCTCTATTAAAGTTTGATAAACATGTATGGCTTTCATCAAAATATTATTTATAACATATTGTTTACAACAATGGTTAATGCATCATGAATTGCATAAAATTCAATATGCTGTAGGCAAGCAAAATTACCACTATTATGAAAAATTTAATCAGACAAATATATTTAAAGAAGTAAATTCTTTTAGATCTTTAAATATTATTTTTAAAAATTGAGGTTATCTAGATACCGTGAACTGCCTAGCATGGATTCTTACTTAAGTTTATGATGAAAATCTTGGCACTCTATTGGTTATAAAACGTGTCATATAAAACAAATTTACAAAAAAAAAAAAATATAACAGAAAAATTACCCATCAAACAATTAAAAATCTTATAATGAACTGAATAAAAAGCTAACCTGTAAATGCATTCATAAATGTTGATAGGGAGCGATTAAGCATTTTGAAAAATGGATCTCGACATGGATATTTGGCTGAACCACAGAGCACTGTGTGTTCAAGTATATGAGATACCCCAGTATTATCCATAGGTGTTGTTCGAAACGCAATACTAGCAAACACAAATTTTTTATGCAAACAAAATAATAAGCAAAAAACTAGCAACAAAATAATAACAGAAATAAAAAATCACCTAAAAACATTGTTTTGATCCTCCCGTGTTATGTGCAAGTGCTGAGCTCCTGTTTCATTATGACGCAGCATAATTGCATGAGCATGAAAATCTGGTATCTCAGATGACTTTAAAAATTGTATTAAATGTAAAAAATTGCTCAAAAATTAAAAGTTTAACAAGCAATAAAATATTAAAATACTTGTATAACAGTGTATCCATGAATTTGTGTGCCAACTTGAAATTTATCTAAATCACAAGAACTATTGTAAAAAAAATCACATACACATATACAGTAGAAACCTGCTAACTCTGACTCTAAAGGGGTATATATATATATATATATATATATATATATATATATATATATATATATATATATATATATATATATATATATATATATATATATATATATATACACACACACCATATATTGTCCCACTCAGTAAATGTCGGAATTAAGCAAAGGTCTTATTATGCTAGACTTTTTGAAAATGTCAGACTTTGAAATATTATGTACATATATAAAGAACTATATAATCTTATGTGAAGTATAAATTTTTTGTATATAAAATATGTACTATAAACTATAAAATATCTACTATATACTGAAAAAAAGTCCTAAATTGATGCTTGTTTCAGTGACCCGCAACATACTGTTACCTTTCTTTTAACAACCTTCTAAATTTTTAATGAATAAAATTTAATAAAAAATTAACTGAATTGAAGATAACAGTGAAAATGCTTAGTTTGTTAAATTATATTTGACACAAATGTATTTAATTTTTGAATGTTTTAGTTTGTGAATTTTAACTTATGTTTTTGAATTTTTAATATAATTGTCATTAATAAATAGAATTTAATTGAAACTTAACTGAATCGAAGATATCAGTAAAAATGTTAAGCTATGTTTAATTATGTTTGATGCAAAAGTATTTTTGAGCATTTAAAGTTTGCAATTTTATTGATGTATTGAAAGTTTTATTTTATAAACTTTTATGCAATTCAAAATAAAAGTCCTAGTTCAGAAAAATGTTTTACCAAAGGGACCCCAAAAAATATTACGAGTTAGCAATTGGTCTGACTTAAACAGAGTACGACTTAAATGGATGATTTTATAATAAGTTGAAAGAGAAAGTTCAAGGGTAATTGAAGATACATCTGTCTTAGTAAAAGTCCTTTAGTAAAAGTTAATTTTAATAAAAGTATTTTTTTAGATATTATATTATATGTGAATATATATATATATATATATATATATATATATATATATATATATATATATATATATATATATATATATATATATATATATATATATCATTTGCTGATCTATATAGCGTATATAGATCAGCAAATGCAATGCAGTTGATGTAGTGGCACTCTTTTGTAGCAGCAGGCTATAAGATAGTCAAAGTACATACTGAGGACTATCAGTCAAAGTGCATACATGTACTTTGACTAATAGTCAAAGTACATTTAGAAGACAAGAAAACTTTATTAAACTAAAAAAAAAAAAATTATTAATAGATTACCTGTCTAAACCAAAACCCTCAGTCAATGTAGCAACACTCCTTGCATGTCAAACCTATTTTTCAGTTAATGTAGCAGAACTTATCTCATGTTCTACTTATTTTTCAGTCAATGTATGTAAGCAGTAAATAAATAAAAATAAAAACATTCAAAATGTTTTTGTATTTTTTATTAATAAAATTAAAAAACATTCCAGCCTATAAGGTTACATTTTTGCAGTTTTTTAAAAATTGATAAAATTTAATTAGTTTCCTCAATCAAATTTAATGGTTTTGATATAAAGTGTATTAAATTTTAATTTTTTATACACAAAGAGTCGTTAAGAGCCTTTTTTTAAACACAAATGGTTGTTTTAATGATATTTCTTGTAGTACTTGATAATTTATTTATTTAATATATAAAACATGAAATACAGCTAAGTACTAATTTTTAATTTAACTAAAAATTGGTACTTAGCTGTATTTTATATTATATATATATATATATATATATATATATATATATATATATATATATATATATATATATATATATATATATATATATATATATATACTTTTCCATTTCTTTTTTTTCTTCAATTATCTAATTATCTTTTATCTAATGCTAAACTTAATGCAACCTGTGCGGAAAGAAATAATTTTGATAGATTTGTTATTGCTTCTTCAAAGCCAGTTGGTAACTTGTTAGAAAAAAACAAACATTTTTTTACATTTTAAAATTTTCTTAAACACTGAACTATCAGAACCAAATATGTAAATGATTCTAAAATTTTTGTTTCAAGAGAATAAAAATTAAATATTTTGTTTAAACTGTTTCCTGTCCAACCATTATCTTAGTAGTTTTGTCAAGTGACATTTAACATTTAAAGCAACATTTCATGGGAAATGTATGCATCTTATTATGTTACATTTATAAAACGTCTTTTAATTAAAGTTTTGTAACTTGTACAGCATACAGATGCATATAATTAAACAGCTACAAAAATAAAATTGTTTTTTTTTTACACTAATGGAAAGCTATTAAACACAAACAAAGCTATTAAAAACTGGTCCTAAACAAACTATTAGATAATTTCAAACTGTTAAATAATAACTGATCTCATACTAATGAATAATAATTGATCTTAATATATTTGATAATAACTGATATCAAACTATTGCATAATAATTGATTTCATACTAATGGATAATAATTGATTTCAAACTAATAAAGTTTTAGTTAATTGTTAATCTAAACATTAATTAAGTAAACCATTTTGATTGGTGACTTGTGCTGAATGCTGAACAGTAGAATACCAACAATGTTGCAAAGAATTACTAAAATCAAAAAATCGAAAACAAAGTTTTCAAGACAAGTTTACACCTCACAAAATACAAGGTGATGAATTTTTGGGCATTTAAGAAACATACGTACACAACTAATCTAGGAAACCATCTTGAACCAGTAGAAATAGACGGATGAAGCTTTCCAATATGAATCATATTCAATTATCATAAAAGCTGTCTACCTAATTACACTAAGAAAGAAAATATCATTATTAAATTCTAAAAATTATTACAAACTATATAAGAACTAAAATAGTGTTTTGTAAAATGATTTTAGAGCTTTGTCAAATGTTTTTGAAGCATCCACATAAGTTGAAGTATGAAAATAAAAGTAAAAAGCAAAAATTCTTTTACTTAAATTTAGGGTTAAAGAATGTTTAAATAAAAGAATAAAAAACAAAATTTTTAAAACCTGTTTATAAACTATTAACATAAAAAATGCATAAATATACAAATACAAGTTGCTTTAAAATCTTACATTGATAAAAATAATATATTTTAATCTACAATAACATTTAAAATAAGTTAACTTTACTTTGAATGATTATTATATTTGTATGAGATCATTGTTAAAAATCTATGATTTTATACAAGTTTTTTATTTCATGTTTTTAGTCTATAAATACAAGTGTAGTGATAAAAAAAACTTTAAGATAAAAAACTTTAAGATAAAAAACTTTGTTACAAAGGATACTTTGCAAATATTATAAATACATATTAAAAACCAAATATGTTTTATTTTTAAAATAAAAAATTATTTAAAATATTTAAAAAACCATTAAAATGTTTTTCAACAAATTGAATTTCTTTTTTTTTTTTTTTCTCCGTACTTTTTAAACTCAAAAATTTTTAAAGTCAAAATAACAAATACAATTAGAAATTTAGAAAAATATAAATTAAACAATGGACTTTAAAACATCTGAAAGATTATCATCATAATGGCTTGATGATGTAAAGTGATTATTTTCCCTAACAATTGTATTACAAATATTATCTATTTTTGAAATCAAGTCATATCTTAACTCCGCCATTTTACTAATGACAAGTTGAGTGATTCGATTTTCTGATTCTTGAATATAATCAATAATTATTTTATGAACATTAGAAGCACACATTGAACATCTAAAAATAGTAAATTTACAATTATTAATCATAAACTATATACATTTTAAAATATTGTTTCAATAAAATTCTTTTTATAGTGAACTTACGTTTGATTTTGAACATTATTTCTTTTAAAAGGAGAGTCTTCAGAATTTACAACATGATTTGAAATTTTCTGATTTGTACAGTGGTTGCTTTCCCATCTAAAGTAAATTCAAAAAATGAACTAAGTTACCAACTACCACCTAATAATCTTTAGTCTTAATTTATATATAATCTTAAAAAAAAAATCAAAACAATAAAAGTTTGTTTTAATTTTTTGCTGGAACCAATCAAAAAAGTTAAAAATATATTTTCTGATAAAACCACACACTTAATTACTTAGTTTAGTTTTTGTAAGCAACTAAGCGGCTTATTTAATTAAGATAATGTTAATTATGGTTTAACTAAAAATAAATTATGTTTTTTCTCAATACAATCATCACTCACTCAATTTAACTCAACTAAATTCAAAATGTCAAATAAAATAACAAAAGCATACAAAGAGGATGATAGGAAGTGATAAAAACTGTATTAACTGATATGAAAGAAAACATAACATCATTGAGAAAAGCTGCATTTAAGCATAGCATTGCAGTCTCAACACTCAAAGATCACAAAAACAACAACAACAAAGGCTTCCATGACTTAGTTACAAAAAAAGTACTCTAAAATGAACGAATAATGGTGCATGGGTATCAATCCCTCGTTGACTGAATTATGGTTTAACCAGAATCGTACTCTTTGGATTCATAACCTTGAACACCAAAATCAATTACTTCACTTTTTTTATTGCATTTATTCAAAAATGGACTTGCAAAGACTGGTTTTATGTCTTGAAGAGATATTTCAACTCAAAAAGTCAACAACTTATAGAGCTGTTTCTTGTACGGCAGAAATAATTGATAGTTTTTTTGAATGCATCACCAAGAAATATCAAGAGACTGGCATATCTTCTGGGTCACATATCTAGAACTATGATGAAATAGGTTGAACTAGAACTGTGATGAAATAGGTTTTTTGGGTGATCAAGACAAAGCAACTGTAGTGTGTTAAAAAGAGATTTGTTTTAAAAACTCATTGGAAACAATGAAAAAATTTAATTTAATGTGAACAATTACTGCAACGCTGATAGGCATTTTGCACCACCATTTGTGACAAAAAGCCAGAACAAACTTTTGTCCTGACTGGACAAGAGGTGGTCCAGTTGGCACCAAATATGCAATTTTTAAATCAGGTTGGATGGAGCATGATACATTTATTGAATGACTGAATAAATTATTTATATCCAAAACTGAGCAAATTGATGGTATTCATATTTTAGTACTAGATGGGTATATAACTCACGCGATGTTGGAAGCAGTATTGATGTGCAAAAAACAAAATATAATCTTGATTTGTCTACCAGAGCATACTTCACATTTTCACAGAAAGGACAGAGGCATCTATTTCCATGTTAAACAAGTGTAGAAAGAAATTCTTACCAAGTTTTACAAAGACTCAAAATATGAGAATCTTGATAAACAAAATTTTCATAGCTTAAACTGCTATAAAAGAGTGGCAATTGCTTTACATACTTGCATGTAACCAGTGGTTTTCAATACACTGGCTTATTTCCATTTGACTAAAACAACATAAATCAAAAGGTATTTGCAATCACCCAAACATTTAACCTACCACCATCTTCTTCAACAGCCACCACGGCACCTCTCCAACTACACATCAATTACTATCTTTATTAACTACACCAACTTTGAGTCTTGGTAGCCTAAGCATGTGTTGAGCATTGGAAAAATAATATTGAGATGGAGTTTATTTTACTGAATTTATTTGTTGCAAAAAATATAAAAAATATAGTTTCTTTAATAATAGTTGTGTTAAAAAAAGTTAAAATTAAAAACAAAGCAATGTTTTTTGGTGTGCCATATGATTAAAAAAATGTTGCCTTAAACAGCACTTTTTTATTTTAAATTATTTAATATTTTTGATAATTTGATTTTTTTTTAAATATATATTTTTATGAATATTTTTAAGAATTTATTTTATTAAGAAATTATTTATATATTCTTATGTTATAACTGATTTAATAAAAAAATAAAAAAAAAAATTGAATAAAAAAAGTGATTCAATTTTTATTGATTAGTGTGCAGTTTGCATTGATTTTACTCTACTTGTTTCATTAAAAAGGTTATTCAAAATAAAAATTTAATAAAATTTATCACCTACTGAAATAAATAACCTTGTTAAAAAAAAAACTCTTGTTAAAAATAAAAATTTAAAATAATATCAAAAAGTTCAAGAAAAATTTTAAAAATTTGTTGCTAAAAATATTTAAGATAAAATCTTTTCAAAATATAAAATTTTTTCTTAAAATAGGTAAATAATTTCTTATTCAAAAAAATAACTTTAAGTTTCTACTATATTAGTCTTTTATTTTAATTTTTTCTTTTCACATTTTTATTTTCTAATCATTAATTAAAAGAAAAATTTTATACAATATAGTTATTTAGTAAAACATTTCCTAAAATTTTTTTAAGGTTTCTAAGGTTTTTATGTTATTTTGAGCCTTTTTTGATCTCACTGAATGTATAATAACTTATATATTCAAAATTTGTGTGTTATTTTCATCATTAAGCATTATTCTATCAATACCAAACGGAAAAAAACACATACTGAAACTTTTTAGTCCCTGTGTAATAAGCAAAACTAATAATAATAACATTATTATTAGTTTTGCTTATAACTGACAGGAGGTAATCCACTGTTATTTAGGGTGGTAGCCCTCCTATCCAGTAATCCAAATGGTTAACTTACAACTAGGAGATTTCAATACTTACAAATGTGAGCAAGAAGCAATAATCGTAGATTTAAAAAAGTTAATCGAAACTTTAAGAACAGATAATGCAAACTTGACTAAGAGAGTTCTGGATTTAGAAAATTCTAAATCAAAATCTAGTTCAGCAGTGACAGGTGATTGGGCTAGTAAAGTAAAAAAAACTCCAGATCAAATGCAAATTATTAATACTATCGCAAATGAAACCAAAGAAAGAGATAAAAGAGAAAATAACTTGGTTATTTTCGGTTTAGAGGAATCAACATTAAGTGATAAAGTCAAAGCTATTGAAGAAGATAAACAAAATATTGAAACAATCATGAAAAAGTTGAAGGTCAATGTCAAAATAAAAAATGTTATCAAATTAAAGTCAAAAAATGGATATAAAGCTCCATATATTGTTGTTTTAAATGATAAATTGGAACGTAATTTTTTTTTAAAAAATGCCTAGGAATTGAAGAAATAAAACATACGAAAGTGTATTTATAAATCCTGATTTGACTGAATCTGAACGGTACAAATCAAAGCTATTAAGGAAAAAGTGTAAAAAACTAAATAATGACAATATTAACAAGGCAAACTTTTACTTTGGTATTAAAAATGACAAAGTTGTAAAAATAAAAAAATAGCAACTAAATGCCAAAAAAGACTAAAACCACATTCGATGCTTTAACTATGAGACTAACAATAAAATAAATCTGTTTAGTGGTGGAGGTCAAAATCTTAACAAGCTGCTGAGCAATAAGAGACAGCTAGATATTAAAAAATGGTAAATTTTCATGAGCGTAAGAAATGTGATTTAAGTATAACCACGGAGCATGATACTCAAAAATGCAATGAACTGATGATTTGGTATACAAATGCAACGTCTCTGAATAATAAGATTGATGAGTTAAGGTTACAATGTGAAATATATAAACCGGATGTTATTTGTGTTACAGAAACTTGGTTTAAAGCAGAATCAGATGTAAATATAATAAGTTATAATATTTTTAGAAGTGATAGAAAGACTCATGGAGGAGGTGTTTGTATTTATGTAAAACAATGTATTAATCAGTTTGAAACAAATAATTTACAGTTAAACAATAATTTTATAGAACAAATATGGACTTGTATATGTTTTAAAAATAACAAAATGCTAATTGGATGCATTTATAGACCACCAGATATATCTCATGAGTATAATAACTATGTTTTGCTATCTATTAATGCTGCTAAAATGAGTATTTATCAAAAAGAATACAGCGATCTTATTATTACAGGTGACTTCAACTATAATACAATAGATTGGTCTGATAATAATTGTCTTTTTTCAGCAACTGATAATGAATCTCAAACTAATAAATTTATTGAATGTCTTGAAGATTGTTTTCTGTTTCAATGTGTATGTGAGCCAACATTCCAAATAGCAAACTACAAATCAACTAATATTCTAGACCTTATTATCACAAACGATAAAAACAAAATTGTTTCTACAACTCACTCAGCTCCTTTAGGGAATGTCAAACAGGGTCATCATTTGTTAAAGTGTTGTTATCTAATGAATGATTATAAGTTTTCAACCGAACATAAGAAATCCATTAGGTTATATCAAAAAGGAAATTGTGAACTATTTGCTTGCCATTTCAATTATTTAGATTGGGAAAATGGATTTAAAAGTAAATCTATAAATGAAATGTATGATTTATTTTTGTATCATTACAATTATGCAACTAATCTGTTTATCCCAAGAATTAATTATCAAAATAGAAGGAACAGAAACAAATGGATTACTCCTGAATTGAAACATAAAATAAGAACTAAAAACAATATATGGCTTGCTAATAAACGTAATGGCTGGAATGAGGAATCAACAAAAATTCAGTATAATAAGCTAAAAATTAGAATAAAGAATGATATTAAGAACAATGTAAAACAATTTGAAAGTACTTTAGCTACCAAGTTTAAATCAAATCCTAAATTGCTTTATAAATATATCAATGAGAAGAAATCAGTGAAAACTCATATTCGAGCTCTGGAAATCGATAATGGGGAAATCATAAATGATCAATTCGCTATAGCTACTGAACTAAATAAATATTTTCATTCTGTGTATGTTAATGATAATTGTACAAATATTATTGAGTTTCATAATATACCTTCAAATTTATTATTAAACACAGTTTTAATAACACAAAATGATGTTCAAACTAGACTTCAAGCACTTGTTAAATCAAAATCAGTCGGTTTTGATTTTGTTCATCCATATGTTTTAAAAGAATGCAGCTTGTCAATATCATACCCATTATATTTAATTTTCAAAAAATCGATGGAAACAGGTACCCTACCAGA